GAGAAGTGGTGCCTCGGTGCGCGCCCGGGATCCGAACCCGGGCCACCAGCATCGGAGCGCGCGCACTTAACCACCAAGCCACGGGGCCGGCCCTTCGGAAAATATTTTTCTTAAAGGTGTGCTAACATGTAATGGGTTTATAATTGTTACTTTTAAATACATTAGTAACTATTTAAATTTTTCCTTGGTTTTCAATTTCTAGTACAGTACATATCGATAGATATAATCCACATAATCAAAAGCTCTTTGGGGTCTTCAATAATTTTCAAGTGTCGAGAGCACCACGGGTCATTGTGCTGGTGTATAGCTCAAAGGGGGCCCCGTGCTCAGAGGTCCAGGTGGGAGATATGAAGCTCTAACAGGCTCAGGTTCACACACACACACACACACACACGGCACATTCATATAAGGTTGGACCCAAGACCCTTTTCCAATACAGAAATCACTTGGAGAAGTAGTTTTATGCCCAACAGTTGGTTGGTCTGGTGATCAAAACAATTACATTAACGCAGTGATCAGCAGTAAACATGAAAATTTTCTTTTGCATCGGATCCAATTCCAGCACATCCTCATATTCAGCACATGCACGCACACAGATGCACTTTTCAAAAATTGATCAAACTGTTCAAATGCACATTATCTCCATGATCATTTAAAAAGGGCTGTGCTCTGATGGAAACAGACTTTGTTATACACCCCCAGAGGTCCATAGAAGCTAACATTCTTCTAGTTGAACTTCATCTTACCAACAAAGAAAAAGGCTTGGAGAGGCTAGGTGACTTGTCCTGAGGTCACGCCCTCAAGTTGCAGAGCTGGGACAGGATCCCAGATCCCTGACTTAGTCCGGCTTTCTTCCCACCACCTTGCCTCTCTAGGGCGGGTCCCGGGTCTGTGCTCCACCTTGAGCTGGGCAGATAAACAAGATAGGAGGTGCATGGCACCTGCCTCCAGGTGTTGGTCCTTGCTGGGCATTGCTGATCAATTTCAGATCAAGGCAGGGTTCCAGGGAGCCCAACAAGGTCCTGGAATCCTTATGACTGTTCCAGATAACCAGAGCTGGTCTGCAAAAGGAAAAGAGGTTGGTGTGCACAAAGGTACGGCCCCTCCCTACCACAGGTGAAGCCTCGAGGGTAAGTCCTGTCTGGGTCACTCCTGCGAACGCGGCTTCTCCTCCTCCCAACACAAGGAATGTGACCCTGTGCTTAGGCTGTGCCCACAGTTCACCAGCAAACTCTTAGGTCAAAGGCCACCTGCATCCTTCTCTATCCAAAGATAAGGTGGCTTTTTACTTCGATTTTCAGTTTTTTCTTTTAAAGAAATTTTACTTGTGAGTACAAAGGTCTCCCTCCTTGAACGAGTGGGGGGGATCTTGGGTATACCCAAGTTCTGCTCTAAAGCGCCTCCCATTATGATGAGTGAAGGGACTGAGGGAGGTGGCCCCAGGGCTGGCTGGAGAGCACCTCCTCCCTCCCTGCTTCCTGGGGACCTTCTAAATCCCAAAGCTTCGGTTTTAAAATCCAAGCCTGTAGTCTTTTTTCATAAAAGTGGTCACTTTATATGCATGATTGTCAGTTTTTATTCATATACTTTGAAAACTTTCCCATGTGTGGACACAATTCCCATTTAAAAAACTCAGCGTGCTCAAGGAAAATTATGCCAAGCGCCAAACATACACACCTCTGGTCTGGCGCATGTTCCAAGTGTGCTGTTTGCCAGGTGTTTTTCATTTTATGGTGAGCTTTTTTCCCCCCTTCAATACAGATTTTAAAAAATAGTCAAATCTATCAATCTTTTATTCTTTACAGTTTGTGTCATTCTTAGAAACACTCTTGTGTGACTACATCAACTCCCCAGGTTTTCTTCTAGAACTCTTCTTTATTTAAGCTCCATTGTTTAAACTTCAAAACTTGGATCTACTGCTAATTTAGTCTGGTGGAAGGACAAGGTAAGCAATCTTATTTTTTGATTGTCACTCAGTTTTACCTTCTCTGTTGATTGAATAATTCACCATTTCCCCACTGATGTGAAAAGTACCCTGTCCTGAATCCGAACACACACAAGAACAAAGCCCATTTCTGGATTTTCTGTTCTGTGGAGGCCCCAACCTTAGATATTATAGACTAACATTTAATTCTCTTTTCCTTTTTTTAGCTCCTTTTTATACATGAACTATAGAAGCAGTACGATGACACCAGAAGGGGAAAAATATTTTATTGGACTGCAAATTTATAGACAACTTTACAATGTTGTCTTTCTAGCCAAGAATAAGATAATCTTCCACTATAAATTGGAATGCTTGGGAATTTAGTTTTTTCATTATCTAAATGCACGTTATTCCTTACTTTTGAAGGCAATACCAGAAGGGTCACGGACTGCCACACAACTTGAGAATCGGCTGGGATCTAGATATCATTTGGTCCAATGTTTTCAGTTTACAAATTACCAAATTTAGGCCCAGAGAAGGGAGGTGAGGTGGCCCAGGTCACACGGCGATTTGGCAGTCGGGATGGGAATGGGATGCCGGAGTCCTGGCCCCTTTCCTGGGGCTTCTCTCCCGCTGCACAGTGGATCTAACCCCAGGTTCCTGAACCGTCTCCCTGAGGCTGCAGGCTGGCGGATACCCAGAACCACGAGGGTCCCACGCAGCTGTTCCCGCCCCCCACCTCCCACGTGCCCCCATCACACAGTCAGCGATCCACAATGAAGAGAAAAGATTTAATTATTTCTCGCTCTCATCTTGTAAAGCGCTCAGTGTTTTCACAATGCAAGGGGAGGGTTGCTCTCAGCCACATTTATCACTGATTCCGACACACACAAAAAACTCAAATCACTGTGCTTTGTACTCACTTTTAATTTCTGCACTGAAAACAAAAAGGTGAAAATGGTGACAGGTGAGTTACAGCCACTTCATCTTTGCCTTTAAATTAATTTCTGCTCTTAGGGGCAGAAGGGGAGAGAAAGACGGGAAAACATCAAAGCCTGACAGGGACAGGTGACCGAGACCCTCAGTCTGGCCCACAGGGCTCTGAACACCCGGAGATGGCGCCCTCCACACACTAGCTTGTGAACACCGACAGGCAACAGTTAGGATACATAAAGAAAAAAACCAAAACCCACAATTCCGTTCTTAAATCAAGCACAAAAACTGACAGTGAAATACATGGTTCCCGCAGGAGCACCCCCTCCGCTCTGGAGAGGCCTTCCAGCGGCAGCTGGACGGTGTGGCAACGCTCCAGAATCGAGCCACACCCGCTCTCCGCAGAACTATGGCCTTGCTGAGTGCCTCCGGCGCTCCTTCTTCTCGCCACTACAGCAGCATTTCTGCAGGCAGGGGAGTGGGATACATGGGCGGGGGTCTGTGTGCTCTCAAGGCCGTGCCTCTGGAATGTTCCACACTTGGGCTGGGTGGGTGGCGGGTTGAGTTACGCTCCACACATTGTTTAAGTGCTCGCTTTATTTTTCATGTGCAAACTGTCACTGTCTAAAGCTTTCAGAAGGACATGTACAGATCTGAACACCCTGTAGAGACACGAGGGGATGCACGAGTTAAGGCCCCCCTCCCTCCTGAGTGGGCAGGGGCGGGGGCGAGTTACAGAAGTATTTAGAGAAATGCCGTGTTCTGCTGCAGTTAAACTCTAGTCCCTGATTCGGTCCGTCCACGGGCGGGGTCCTCAGTAGGCGATTGTCCACTCTTTGACAGAGGCGTCATGGGAGGTCGTGACCAGCGTGTGCTCATCCAGCCAGGCCAGGCTGCTGACGTGGTGTAGCCGGTGTGCATCTGGGAAGAAAGAACGTGCTTCTAAGAAAACCCAACTTCTCTGCTCCTGCGTACACCTCAGATGAGGAAGATGGGACAACCTGTGCCCAAATTGACAGAGCCCCCGAGAACCTGAACACAGAGCACTGTACATCAATCCCCTTCCCTCTTCTCAGGAGGACGAGTCTAGAAGGACAGCAGGCGGGAGCAGGCGTTCGCACCCCGGCACTGCTGACCCTGGGGCACTGCAGGGTACTTAGCAGCATCCCTGGCTGTACCTCCCAGACGCCAGGACGGTCATGACAACCAAAAACGCCCCACCCCAGGGGCAGAAGAAAATCGATTTCTGTGTGTGTATAAAGCAACGATACACAGACAGCACACAAACAGCTGCACAGTGTGTCTGCTGCGATGATGAATAAAGGTTGAGACGTGGGGCTGAGGACTCGTGTGACCCGCCCCTCTGTAAGTCACACCACGGGCGACCACATTCCATCAGCCTTGCCTCCACCACTCACCTTCCGATGGAAAGCAGCTGCCTGCGCGGGCCCGTCTGCTCTGTGAGGTGCAGGGAGAGCGAGCCCCATGGGCCTTCCGCCCCCAGGCTCTAGGTCTGTAGCCCCATGGGCACTGGTGCCTGGGCTCCGCCCACATCACCACAGCTTCTGTCCACGCAGAGAACTTGTCCACGTGCGTGCCTCGGCCTCACCTCTGCTGACCTGTGACCCCACCCAGACACAGGACCCAGAACCCCATCCTCTACCCTGCTAGCTCTTGTTGCCTCACGAACTTGTTGGAGTCTTACTACAAAACTCGCATTCCTTGTAGACCAGCATGGCCCATCTGAATCTGTTCTGAGCCCTCCTGCCCGCCCGGGGCTGCAGCTTGCTGGTGCCCTCCCTCCGCCTGCAGCGTGGGAACAAGCTCGGGGGGTGGACTCTGGATTATCTTTAAATAGGAAAGGACCCCATTTATGTTTCACACACAAGGCTGCCTGCTGTGTGGAGCACAGAGGAGAGGGGACCAGACTACACGTGATGGCCGGGGACGTGCGCTTCAGGAGGGACAGGCAGTGGGGAGGTGACTCGAGGACAGAAGATCTACCCTGGATGGGTGCAGTGCCACCTGGGGCCACAAGCCATGCGTGACTACAAGCCCCTGAAGTGAGCTACTGCCACACGTGGAAATAATATGTTGGGTTAAAATTTACTATTAAGAATAATGTCACCTGTTTCTCTTTTAAATGGGGCTGCTAGAAAAATGTGGCTCACATTATACTTCTATTGGACACTGCTGGTATAGAGTGAGAGAACCTGGTCATGAGTTTGGATTTAAAGGGGTGGGGGAAGGGAAGGTGCCCCTAAATTCTTAAACTGAAAACCTAACCCCAGAGTGAGGGTATTAGGAGGTGGGCCTTCGGGAGGAGCTTAACGTCATGAATGGGATGAGTCCCTTATAAAAGAGGCCCCACAGAGCTCCCCTGCCCCTTTCACCCAGAGGAGGGCCCTCACCTGACTGTGCCGACACCCTGATCTCAGGCTTCCAGGCTTCAGAAGGGAGCAATGAATTTCTGTGTATAAGCTACCCAGTCTGTGGTATTTTGTTACAGCAGCCCGCATGGAGCAAAGATAGGAAGAGTGTCCAGAGTGAGCCCTTTCCTCAGGACCTGTCCTGTGTATGGAGACCACCAGAGCCCGGGGTTTGCTGGAGAATGAGAGCCACACCTCTATGGGGTCACCTCCTCAGAAACACAGATGGACACTTGAGCCCTGGGGCTAGTGCTGGTGACCCCTGCCCCACGGGCATTCCCTGCCGACACGGGTGTGAGAGTCACCTTGGATCTTGATTCTGGTCTCGGGGTCACTCAGGGTCCAGACGTACACCATCATGTCCATGCCGCCAGAGGCAAAGTGCTCGTTGTCTGGTGACCAGGCCAGGCAGACAATCTTTGCATGGTGACCATAAAAAAGGTTGTTCTCCTAGACGCAGATTGGAAAGAGAGGGGCGGCAGGTCAGGGTTCAGGCCAGGGTCAGCGAGCATCATCTCATCTAACCCCCGCTGTGACAATAACTAGGGTGGGCATTTATGAAGCGCTGTCTCTATGACAGGCAACTCTTAACCAACTCACCGCCTCCTCGTGAGAACCCCAATGTGCCTGCTACTCGCAGAGATGGGGAAACGACGGCACAGAAAGGTGTCCCCTAGGACTGCCCTCAATCACAGCCCCTATCACCAGTGCTAGACAAGCCTGCTCACCTTCAGAGCTCTCAGTCTAGCGAGGGGACAGAAATACCTGCTGAGAAATGCAGAGATGGCAGTGCCAGGAGGCCCCGGCTGGTGCACGAGGCACTCCTAGGACAGGAGGCTGGCCTGCCTCTACCCAGAGACCCCCCTCCACCCTGAGGCCCGACGGGGGGCCTGGGCAGAGCCTGCAGCCACGTGCATCCCGAGCCACGGGCTTTGTGTGTGGCCATTTCTACAACGTGTCCCAGCCTTGAAGCACTATTTCACCAAGGGGATCAACGTGGATAAGCAGTAACACTTGGGAAATGCTTTTTCTTCAAAGCATTCCATCTTGTTCCTAATCCCTAAGAAATAGCCAAATTTCACCATGATTTTCTTTTTCAAGCGTGCCTCTTCTGTCCTTTGTTGATTCTGCTCTTGCAAATTACTTAGCATTTTTAGCACGTCATAAACAGGACTTGTTATGTGCAGACAAAATCCCTTAAAATGTGATAAATGTAAAATCCGCTAAATGTGGTGCGGAGGCAGAGGGGAACTTCCTGGGGAGGTGGGAGTTCTTTACCTCGAAAAGGTTATAGGCACATGCTCACTGCAATGTATACTTTCACTCACCGGTGCCTTTCGTTATATGTAAACTTTACAGCATAACATAAAACGAAGACACTACTGAACTCTAGTTAATATGTGAGCTGAAGTATTTACAGGGAAATGTATAGAGGCCTGTAATTTAAATGCACCACAAATTAGATTATTGGATGGCTAGAAAATGTAACATGGTCAAGTGTTAATGGCAGAATCTAGGTGGTAAATTCTCTCAGCTTTGCAGATTTCAAAACTGTCACACTGCGGTGGGGGGTGGGGTGGAGCGTCAGGAAAACCCCACCCGTCCTGTGTTGCCTGCTCCAGTGAGGCCAGCTCTTCCACACCCCGTGACTGAATCCTCCCACAGTGCAGTCTCTTGTTCGTGAAACGGGACTCACACTGCCCAGCGCAGAGTTCTCCTGGCTATGAATACAGGACCACCCTCACACCTCACAGGGGAGGTTCCCTCGGCTGTCCTCCCAACACAGAACCTGCCGCAGAACCCAACTGTGCTGCTCGGAGGGGAACGAGCTTCCAGGTGCCTCTGCAACCGGCCCTCCTTTCCCAACCCACTGCCCGGCGCTCCCCAGGAGCAAGCGGTGTTGGGATGAGGCACGCACATACTTAACAGGCTTTTAATGAAACTCAAGGGAAGTTTAGTGTAAGCCCTTTGACAGAGGAGAAAAATAACGGCACAGAGGCCAGAATGTCACTTAACACGGTGGCCCAGGTGAACCAATTAGCTGGTCTTCACAGCAAGCCTCGCTGCCACCCAGGTCCCTAACTTTGGCAACTGTGCTCTATCTCGATTATAAGACACCATAAGCTCCCGTCACAAGCTCCCAGATGGTGGGTAAAGTGTCCCTGTCCCACGTCATTCATGCTCTGAGAGCAATGAAGCCCCGTGGTCTTGTGCATCCGCCTGGGTAGTGACGACAGGAGAGAAGCCACGGCCCCCCGCGCCTGCCCACCACCTGCACTGCCCAGCACGCGGACAGAGGACAGCCCGTCCACTCACCGAGTAGCCGTCAGCAACGCTGAAGACCGTGACCACTTTGCTGGCGTCGCACACGGCGAGGAAGGCGCCATCATGGGAATACGCCACGTCAGTCACAGGGCCCTTAGCCTCCAGGAGCTTGTCCTCGTCCTTCAGCGTGGTACCCAGAATGGAGTACAAGCGGACATTCCCGTCCTGCAGGACAGAGGGGCAGCGGGTCACACACACTCTCTCTTGATGCCCTTCCTTCTGGAGGGAGGGGCTGGGGTATCAGTAAGAAGCAGTGCTTTCCCCTCTATCTGCTGCCCCACCTCGGCCACCAGCCCACGTGCCGCCCCTACAGCCAGGCGAGCTGCTCCTTCCACACGGCACTGGAGGACACCTCCTAAAGTCCCTCAGAGCTCTCCTCGCTTACTCGGCACAGTGGCAGAATTACCCAGGAAGGTGGTTAAAACGTGGGATATGTTAGGCACCCCCCAACTCTGATTCTGCATGTTTGGGTGCTCAAGAGTCTGCCTTTTTCATAAATAGTCTAAAAAGTTCCAGTGCAGGTGCTTACAAGCTGAGAAAACATCTGTACCTGTGTTAGTTCTCTGGCAAGGGCCCTCGAATGTCTGGCCTTGTCCCCTCCAGCCGCACCCTCTGCTCTTTCATGCTCTGTACCTGCCCCCAGCCCCCAGCCAGTTCCTTCAGGCACCAGTCTCCCTCTCTGGCGAAACCTCCCTCTGTCCAGCCCACTGTCTCCTAGCAAACTCTCTATCCACTGTGGCTCAGGCACATCCTGGGAAAGGCACACCTGCTCTTTTCACAGGGCGTGTGCCACTCAGCCCACTGGCTGTCCCCAGACTCCAGGGATCCTCGAGTCAGGGACGCCCACAGGATGTTCAACTGCCCGGCTCCGCCCCGCTCTCCTCAGCTGCAGCCTCCAGGAGGTGCCTGGGCATCTATGTTGACGGTTCCACCTGCGCTTCGGGAGCTCAGCCAGGGAGGCTGCACCTTGGGCACCTCCCCTCTGGGCCAGGGATCCCCTCGATTTTATGCCCCCAGAGCCCTGCCCAGGGCCTGGCCCTGAGAAGTGTAACACACACTGGAATCAGTGAAGGTAGCAGCGTGAGCAAACAGGAGGGCCCAAGAAGGAAGTAACCAGGGTAGGTGGTGTCCCCGTGAATACCCAAGGCTACCCTGCAAAGCAAATCAAGAACCAGCCCGCCCTCTCAGGGCAGCTGAGCTGTCAGCCTTCCAGACAACCACAAGGCCTGGTTACGTCCACGACGCCCTCTTGCTCCACCTCTAATGCGGAAGGAAGGCGAAGTCTAGCCCCAGGAGGGTGTCTGAGCACAGAAGTCCTCGAGTCACGTGACAAGCCCACTCAACGCCACATGTAGCAGGAGTCTGGACTCCATAGGCTGATGAAGAGGAAACTGCCTACAAGGGACACACGGGATGAAGGAAGAAGCTGTGTTCACAGATGGCACACGGAGGAAATCACAGGAACCACACACCACCGATGCCCACCGCCAGGCTGAGCGAGTGAGGGACACCCACAAGCCGGAATGCTGTAGCGTCACCTAGTGTGTATGGGACAGTGGGGAACTCCGTACAAATGCAGATGTGCACCTGTGGGATGTACAAAGATGCACGGGCCTGGGACTGAAGACAAGCTGGGAAGATGAAAACCGCCAATGCCTCGAGGTACTAGCTGAAGTGATGGACTATCTAGCAATCTCTTTTTCTTTTTTAAGAGAAAAAAGTGCAAGTCTAACAAGCAGGACATGGTGATGTGGCTGTGCCGGGGAAACATCAGGTTCAAACTCCATGTCTGACCTTGACCTCGGGCCCCGGGGCCCTGGCTGTGAACTCCTCCCTGAAAAGGCAAAGGCTGTTTCTCAGAACATGCCTGATGGGGAGTAGGGAGGGGCCTGGCCAGTGAGGGGAAAGGATGGATGACAGGCCCACAGGAGCCCACCAGGACCGCGGGCATGCAGGTGTGTGCGGGAGAAGAGAGCAACCTGCCCCCTCCAGCTGCAGCCCAGATCAGGGAGGGAGCCCGCGGTGCTGCTGCCCAGTCAGGGGGCGACCGCCTGGTGGGGAGGAGAGTCACTCCTGAGGTCAGCCTGCCTCGGGCCAGAACATGGAGAGTGCAGCCACGCGGACACAGCGCACATCTTACTTGGCCACTTAGCCAGTGAACAAAACACTACGTCTGTGAGAAGCAAAGATAGTCAAGTCTACTTGTGCTGTGGCCACTGAGGATGATGACACCAATAGTGATGGATAGAGCTACCACTGAGGGGCTGATGAGCCCACTCCTTTTGTCTGGGCACCGATGGCTTGGGCCTGAGCCTGCCCATGGGCTGCCTAGGGGAAGGGACGGCTCCTCGGAATGGTGGCTCCCTCCCCACTCAGGTAGTCACTCTGCCAGACTGCTGTCAGAATACCCAGTGGCACCGTCCGGCTGGTCCTTCCACAGGCTTAGGGGCTGCTGCCAGGGATGCTTTTTGAGGCTGGAGGTGGGACTGCCTGGTGGGCAAGCCCAGTGGTCAGTGCAGAGCTGATGCCACTGCGCACATCTATGTGCCAGGCACTGGGAGAAGCCCTTCCAGTACATCAGCCTTTTCAACCCCACGGAGGCTCCCTGAGAAAGGCCATTGGCGCCTCAGTGCACAGCCGGCTTCCGGGGATGCCCAAGCTGCTAGGGGAGGAGGCCGACTCTGGGCCCGGGCAGGCTGGCTCTTGAGCTGGCTCTGTTTCACACCTGGCACCTCCAGAATGAGACTGGGCCATGCAGGAACATGCCTGGCCTCGCCTCTGGCAGGGGGAAGGCGCTGCCCGAACATTGGCCCCCTTCCCTAGAGTGAAAGGTCTGCCATTTCAGCTGCAGAATTCATTTACCAGTGACATCTTCCCTCCCAGGGCCGCGTGAGGACGGAGGTAGTTTGTAGAGCACTCAAGGCCTGGCTGGCAGACCGTTCAGTCCACGCAGCACTAGTCTTAGAGGGTGTGAGAATTACACTCTGGATGATGGAAGTCAGAACTCAAGGAAAACCGTGAGACCATGAGGTTAAGACTTTACTTTGCAGGTGTTAAGAACCCTCTTGTGACTCTCCTCCCTGCAACCTACAGGCCCAGCTCGTCACTGCCACTCCTTTCCCGTCATGCTGCACTCCTGAGTCCCCAGCCACTCACAGGGCCCAGGCTGAGGCCAAGAGTCCCTTCTTCCAAGCTCTCTGCCGTGTGCTCCAGCACAGCCCCACCTCACTGTGCGGGGCCTCCGTCTGTTAGACACTGCCGCACTGGCCAGGATGAGCATCCCAGGGGGCTGGGCAGCCCTCGGGGGCCTGTGAGGGTCACCCGAGAAGGGCCCTCACTCGGGCAGCAGGAGGGCCCCCCACGCTGGTTCCTAGGGACCCAGTCCCACTTCCCTCCCATTCTGCCCTGAGACAGACCCGCACTCACACAGCTCGTGTCACCCCGAAATCGCCCAGATACCCAGAGGGCATGGGACACAGGATCCTTACCGCGCCCCCGACAGCCACCATGTCACCGCTGGGGTGCACTGCCACAACTTCGGGCTCGTAGCCGGGGTTGTCAATGCTGAAGCACTTCTTCTGATCCTTCAGCAGGACGATCTAGGAAACATGCAGGCAGCCAAGTCAGAGCTGCAGAGGCCCTGGGACAGATGACTCAGTCCCGGTCTGGGCTCCCTCCCCAACCTTGCTGGGGGAAGGACAGTGCGGGGGCCAGGCGGGCTCCAGCCACACTGGGCTCAGCCCTGTGACCCTGACATGTTTCCTCCCTCGTCAGTCAGCGGGGACAGTGACAGTTCCTAGTCACAGTATCGCACTAAACACTGGCTGCCACCATCACCATTATCACCACCCTGTTGCTACTGTTACTACTACTGGCACAGTCTCTTGGGAAGCCACTTGATGTGTGACCTTTAGTTCCTCCAATTCCACAATGAGCACAGTAAACGAGCTTTGCTCAACAGAATTCTCTAAAGGTTCAAGAAGACAAGGCACTTGGAAGTGACGAGGCTCTAAACCAACACTGGAAATGAACACGACACATGAGGATTCTAAATTCTGGCTTCCCAGGTCCAAGGAAACACCCTTCACAACTTTGACCTGAGGCGTGTGAAACGTCTCCCACAGCCTGGGAGACAGCGCTGATGCCCCACCTTCCAGAAAGGAAGCTGGGGCTCCCAGGCCCACGGAGGCTCTCCGTTCTCTACCAGCATAACTAGCCTGAAAGCAGGGATAAGGACAGGACAGGTGGCTCACAGCAAGGTGGCCGGGAGGCACCCTGATGCACCTCTCCCACACTCCACCCAGCCAGCACCTGCCCTGGTCCACTCCTAGTGTGACAGGGGCAGGACAGCGTCCTCAGGCGGGCTGAGTGCCTGGGTGCCCAGGCCCTAAGGAAGGACTCTGGAGACAGACAGACCGGGCTTGATCCTGGCTCAGCCACCTCCTGCCTGTGGGGCACGAATGCCTGAGCCTCAGCCTCCCAGGGCATGAGAACCCAGGGGTGCCTAGACATCACGAGGATGGAATTCAGTGCTCAGGGTCAAGAAAATACCGAATAAAAGCAAAGAAAACCAGCAATTCGTGTGCACACACATTGCTAAGAGTGTTGCATGTCTTACATCCCTAGGAGACGGCAGGATCACCTCCCCATTGTATAGAGGAGAAAACGGGGTACAAAGAACGTCCACCACATGCCCAAGGCCCCACAGCTCTCAGAGCCGAGCCGGGACTCATGCCGGGGCCACAGGACCCCGGAATCCTTGCCCTGGCTACCACCCTGTACCTTCTGCCTTCTGATAACACAGCAGAAAATCCCCACACACAGGGGACCCTCTGCTGCCTCCGCTCCCACTTGCTCTTGGACGTCCCTCCTGGTTTTTACTTATTAGACGGTTCCTGGACAGCGTGGCCTAGATCTGCGACAGCTCTGGCTTTACATCATCGTACGCCTGCCAGCTGTACCATGAAGGGCAGGCAGGCCCCCTCCCCCACCTCCTGGGGGCTTTTGCCCACGTGTGTATTGTGGGGTGTGGGAGGCAGAGGAGGGACTGGGCGGACAGGAGGTAGCACCCTCACTAAAATCTACTCTTGAAAATGCACCTCGAGAAACATTCACCTCCGCCATCTGCCGACTCAGGAGCGGACTCACCTACCTGATGGGTAAAGACTGGGGGCATAAGCATTTGCCAAATTTTCCTAAGAGGCGAGATTTGAACCTGGCTGTTCGCTGACTGGAAATCATGAGCCCCTTCCGGCATGTTCTGCCGACCCCATGATTTGCAATGGGGCTTTCTCCAGAAGCCTCCTACCTAGAGCGGGGGTCACAGATGCCCAAGAACTGTGTGAGTAACAGCACATCACAGAACGATCGTGCACACCTGATCCCAAGGGTCCAGGACTCCTTGGAACCCATGGGCCCAGGGTAGGAGCCCTGCTTGGGCATGCCCCAGCATGCCACAGCCCTGCACTCGCCAGCCTTGCCCGAACGGAGCACCAGGCCCACCCCTCTGAACTTGCTCGTGTCAGACTTGCTATGCGCCCCGGAGGGCCTGGCATGACAGCCACTCCACAGACAAGAAACCGAGGCCTAGAGACCCAGAGCTCTGCCTGAGGCCCCTGCTGCTGGGAGACGCCTAGTCAGCTGCGGAGCCCATGTGCTCATCCTCTCACCTGCCAAGGCCAGGTGTTCAGACACCGAGACTGGGAAGAGCCCACTTCACAGAGAAACAGCCTGTCCTAGAATGTCGCCTTTCAGTCTCTCCCCAACCCCGCTGAGGTGCTCCAAGCCGTTTATTCCATCTGTGCCCCCACTGGCCACTCAGACTGTTTGCAGTAATTGCTTGGCAGGAAGTTCGTGTTATCTAGGACACACAGAAATCCATTCTCCCTGAAGCAATTAAGTTCACAGAATGAGGAGGGGCGGTGGATCTGAATGGCAGCTTTCTTTAGCAGGGTTTGTCACTCATGCCAGCGGGGGCTCGGCCACACCTGCCTTCTCCACTCCACGTGCATGGACGGATGGTGCCTGTCAGAGCAGAATCCTGCATAAAGTGGGTCAGGCTTGGGTCTCGGTCTAGGGCGCTTCATCCAGAAATTGCAAAAGAGAAGTGTGCAGGTGACCTTGCCATCTTGAATGAGAACCCAGGCTGTGGAGTTGGAACACCCAACTCATTCTGAGTCGGGAGCCTCCTGCCATCATGTGGCCTGGGGGAAGTCACCAGATCACTCTAGCCTCAGCCTCCTTGTTCACGGGATGAACTTACAATGTACAAAGAGCCCGACACGTACTTCCTCGTAGCGCTCCCTGTGAGCTATTAGGGATGAGAAAACTGAAGCTCAGAGAGGGTGGGAAAATGCCTGAAGTCCCACAGCTCCGATGCTGCAGGGCTAGGGTTTGAACATGAGCAAAGACAGAACCACCTTGTTGTGCCTCCTGTAGGCCTCATGGGCCGATGGACATGGTCTGACACTCAAGTGCAGGCTCTGACCAGGGTGCCTGGGTTCAAATCCCAGCTCTGCCCCTTTGCCAGCTGCAGACCTTGGGTAGCTTACCCTCTCTGTACCTGTTTTCTTATCTGTAAAATGGGGCTGGTGCCGTGCCTGACTGATGGGACTGCTGAGGATTAAAGGAGCAAATACACGTGAGGCCCTCAGCACAGGGCAAACTGCGCTCAATAAAAACGTCTGTTGGAGCTACTGTCAAGTGGGATATGAGAGGATCTGAGAGAGCAGACACTGCACGGCTGCCAGCTCTGACCTGCTATCCCACCACCTCTTCTAGCCAAAGCAGACGCGGGAACCGTACCTGCCCGATGCACACGACCACGGCATATCCTCCAGGGCCGACAGCTACACACTTTGGTTGAACGTCCAGTTTCACGACTCCCTGTCCGCTGTTAGAGAGAAGGAAAATGTGTCACTTCCATCTCTGCAGGACTCAGTATAGGTATTAAACATACACTTCGTGCAAAACCACAGCAACTCAGGCTGTTTAGGAGAGGAAGTTCTACTGCAATCTGTACTGAAGAAGCGCTTTGCTAAAACACGGGAGGGAGTGAAAAATGACTCACAGATTCTGGAAGAGATCAGAAATCATGCTGGGGCCTGGGGGTGTGGGAAAGACGGTGGCAAGAGCAAGTAAAGGCAGTGATTTCTGTCCCTGCTTATCGGTGACAAGGACCCGCCACCCTATCACTATGCCCAGTCGTGGCTTCTGTCCCATCTGTTGGCCACAGACCCTGCGCTCCCTGGGTACAGAGAGAACTGAGCTCTGCTTCCCCCGACTCCTGCAGTCATAACCAGTCTTCTCAGCAGTAAGTTAAAAAGATAATCTGCTACTTTTCATGGGTGACAATCACGTGTTATCTTTACTTTTAGCTAATGCTATGAAAACACATCCTAGGAAAATCTGCACACACACAGAAACGTCTTGAAGATGGTCAACTGAGGAAAATTCCCTGTAACTGGGCCAAGCGTGGAGTCCTAAAGGCTCAGTGATGGGCTCCTTCGGCGAGGTGGCCAGCCGGGACTCTGCCTGGGTTCCCTTAGGGCGAGGCTTGGGGCAGCAGTGTGGCCCCCCCTCCGTGGGAAGACATTTATGAAGGGTGTGCTAATGCCAGGGGTCACTGCAGGGCAGCATAAAGAGGATGACTGGGCCCTGGACACCTGGCTTCTGGGGCAGCTTCTGCACTTATCGCCAGCCTTGACTCACTCACGACGTCTAGTTGATGCCAGGCAAGTGAGACCCACACAGCTCACATGGCATGAGGGTCACCAAAATGTCCTCCAGGAAGCTACCCTCCCCAGTGAGACAGGCCCCAGCAGGACGATAGGGGCTACACACAAAACACAGCGAGGGCAGGGGCGGCTCAGTCCTGGGGTGGGGGCGCTGGAGGTGCCGGGTCTGACAGTCCACGAGTCAGGACATGTCTCCCTCCTTCCTGCTCGCCCCGCACTGAGACGGCAGCTCATCTGTTAGCTCCCATCTCAGCTCCAACGACCGCCGACCAGAGCCAAACCAAACACAGCGCTGCCTTTTACTCAGGTTGCCTGTGTGCCCGTCTGTTCTTGGGGAGCCCCTGCCGTGTGCCAGGCGCCTCTGAAGGTCTCACTGCACCTTCTCAACGGCCCGAGAGGCAGGCTCCACGGTTACCTTCCTTTACTGACAAGGAGGGGGCTGGGGGTGAGATCTGCTCCGCCTGGCTTCCCAGGCAGAGTCTGTACCTGGTCTGTGCAGACCATCTGGACTCTAACTCGGCTCCTGGCTCAGGGCCTGGCATTAGGAGAGCAAGAGCTCAGGGAAGAAGTGAGAAGAACAGAGAAAATGTATCATAAGCAGTAACCGCTACAAGCAAAGGGCCTTTGTGGGGCTCTGCAGCGCGCTCTAGACACCCGGACCCCAACAGCCCCCAGCCCTGGCAGCTCTCACCTGTAGTCCCTCAGCGTGAGGTTGGTGTACCGCACCGTATCGTCCATGCTACAGCTCACCAGCTGTCCAGACTCATCCACGGTCATCCTGGACACCTGGTTCGTGTGGCCCTTCCCAGCGAAGGAGTCATTCTCCCCTGTCTCTGAATCCCAGTAATGTGGGGCAGGAGTTAAAGAAAAGCCTGACTTCCAGGATATGGTGCGTGCCCCTCTGGGGAGGCCATGGCCAATCTCTCGTCCCGGGCAGCATGTTAGGGACAGGACAGTGAGCACTGGGCCTGAGGGGAACTCCCGGCACACGTACAAATCCAAATTTCAGAGAGCAGCCATTCTGGTGGACCAGCAAGATGGCCCGGCTGCAGGTCGGTGGGCTATTTATAACCCAACTTGCCCAGTTAGAGACAGTCTGTCTAAGCTTCATGTAAGTGCCGTACGAGGCCACCAGGGCAGATCACAGACTTGTGCCGACCCGTAACAGCTAAGTGTAAACTGATCAGAACTGTCAGTGGTGGGCTCCTGTACCAACGGGACAGCACCTCAGAGTGGAGGCTTCAGAAGAAAGCTGCTTTTCATTGGGACTGTGTAACCGAGCCAATGCTTCATCCTGCTCTTTTTTTGTAGCCTGTGGTCAAGCCCATGACCATCAGCAGGAAGCTGGGTGTGCCCCGCCGCTTAGCCGATGGCCACCCAGGTGCCACCAGGTTATGGCCCGGGGCTGACCCACCTGGGCAGGGCTGGTTTGTGGATTAGGAGCTTGAGGTGCTCAGGTGCGGGTGTGTTTTAAGTTATGCGATTCTTTAACATCAACAAATGAGAATCTCATTTTAAACGAAGACCGTTGCTCCCTTTAGGAAGCTACATGTGTATTTCATTAACACGTTCTTGTGATGGAAACACCCGCAAGTGTCAGAGGTTAATGAGGTTAACGTCCGGTGCACTGACAGTGTGGAGGAGCAGGGAGAGGAGAGGAGCAATGCTGGGCCTGCTGAAGACAGCACAATTAGAGATTTTCACATTACTCCAGGAGCCTTCTCTGGCCGCAGCTGTGATGCAGGCTAGGGCAAGACACCCCCCACTGTACCCCACATCCCCTCACATGTAACGGGGCAGAGAGTGACTTATCTGCCTTCCTCCCTCAAGGCTTTGGGAAGACCTCCCTGGATCTTTCACATGAAAACGGGGGAGCCCTGCAGAGACAAGGCCCAAGAGGCACAGGGTCCCTGGACAGCCCCTTCCAGGAGGAGCGGCAGGGCGCAGACCTGGAAACAGTCTACACGTGCCAGGCCTTGCACATGGCACCAGTGCTGCTGGGGTGTGTTGGGGCTTGGGGGTAGGGGTGGGTGAACAAATCAGCCCAGTGATGCACCTGTTGTGAGCCTATGAGGTCACCTGTGCCACCCCAACCCCTTCCAACGGCTGCTCCAACACTTGACAGTCCTGAGGCGGCAGGTGGGGGTTACCAGGCCCGGCCGCAAACACTAGAAGGGGCAGGTTGTAAGGGCTGCCACATACGCCTCCAGGGACAGCAAACAACCTCCCCAGGAGGGGAGATTTGAGTTCCACTCCTGCTCTGCTGCCAACAAGGGTGCGACCTCGGGGAAAGCACTTGAACCTGAGCTTCACTTTTCCCTTTTCTGAAACAAGGGGATTCTATTAAAAGGTTCCAAGTCCTTTTAAATTCTAACACTCACCGATTCTATTGCCTGTGAGAGGGACAAGGCCGGCACCAGTGTTACACATGGGGAAGAAGCAGCTCAAGTTCACAGACGTTCAGCAACCACTCAAGGCTGCACAGCAGGAAGTGACCCAGCAGGTCAAGGCTGTGGCCTGGAGCTGGAGGTCCTGAGTGTGGACACCAGCACATCTCAGCAGCCAGGCCTGGTCAGAGTCCTGTTGCTGCCACCTGGCTGCCCTCGCCTCTGGCACTGGCACCGTGGGAACAGGAAACTCCCATCTCTCCTGCCAGTAGCCCCGGAGCCAGCTCTGTGAGTCAAAGGATATTAATGTGCCCATCGTGGCTCCCAGAGTAAATGTAGGACTTGCCGCCGTTTTTATGCACCGTCAGACACTGGATTGATTTGCTGTGACCCTGTGGAGGAGACAGGGCAGGGTGAGCTGAGGACACACCATCCTGCCTCTTCGACTCACCAACTACTCTCTCCTGACCACACCCCTGTGTGAGCGAGAGGCAGAGGCCCTCAACGTGCCGCAGCCCCGGTGTGCCTGAAAACACCTTCCCGAGCCACGGTCAGCCTTTACCCCGGTGACTGACCATCTGACAAACCCTCGTCAACCAGGCTCGTCCCTCCGAGGCACCTAACCGTGACCACCAGGGCCAAGCACGAGTCTAATCGATGCCCCAGTAGCCGAGCGCCGAGTCTGTGCAGACTGACGCTGGCAGCCCCCCTGGAGGAAAGGCTGCTCACACCCATCGGGATGAGGACGAGGACGAGCCCCCACCTGGGCTGAGCCTCGACAGAGGTGAAGGAGCAGTAGTGGGAACAGTCTTGGGAGGGCCCAACACTCACACAGCAGGCAGGGAGACCTCCAGGCTCCCCCAGAGACCAAGACAGTCCAGGGCGCTGCTGCCAGTGTGTTCTGTACCTAGAAGCACAGCTCACCACTCTGGCTTCAGCCCCTGGCTCACGAGGTCTCTTCTCTCCCAACTCCCCCTCCCCACCCAAGCTGTCCGAGGGCTCTGACCCCTACAACCTCCCCACTGACAACATGGTGGGCAGAGAATTCGTCCATAACCAGACATTGGCTTCAAGGGGGCATTTAATTTCTCTCCTAACTGCCCTTGGGACAGAAATAACCGGCTGAGGTGTGGTCTAATCATAGCTCTTTTCCCTCATCAGCAGCAGGCGAGTCTCCCTCTGACAGAGATGCTCCACTGCCAGGGGCACAATTCCTGCAGAGGGCTTTCTCCCAGGAACTGCTCAAGTGTTCCATTTGTTGCCACGGTGTGGCACATATCTTCAGAGCAAGGTACACAGTTCTCAGGAGACCGGAGAATCAGTGAACAGATACATGGAAGCATTTCTGCCTCACATCTCCTTCTGGGACAGCCCCCCACCAGCCCTGCTACTTCAAGCGTGGTCCTCAGACCAGCATCAGCCTCACTGGGAGAGTCCCCCACACAGCCTGGGGACTCAGAACCTGCACTCAACGAGATGCCCAGGGATGGTCCACGTCCACTGCCAGGGCAGCAGCCTCACCTGCGAGCTTGTGAGAAATGCGAGCTCTCACATGTCCACAGACCAACACCCTGAGCAGGGGTGCAGCCCGGCTGCAGTGCTCTAACCAGGACCCTCTCAGGTGATTCCGATGCACCTTCAAGCTTGAGAAGTAGAATCACCTGGGTGCATCTTCAAAGTACTGCACTGAAGAGCCATCCCTCAGGTTCTGACTGAGTCCCTCTGGGCCGGCCAGGCACCAAGCCCTTTTGTGAAGCTCTCAGGTGATCTGAACGTATTCTGGGGCTCAGAACAGCTATTCTGACTTCAGCCTCCTCCTGAGATCACACACAGCCCAAGATCAGCACCCAACACCCCTCGGGACTCATGCAACGTGTGGCAGGTGAGCAGGGATGCGAGTTTCTTTTCCGCCCACGAGACTCCCTGAGCTGACCTGGGGGAGGACCAGGCCCCCGGCCCGCGGTGCCCATGCCGTCGGCAGCAGCGACGTCAGCAGGAGCAGCCAGATCCAGGCCTCCCCATTCCCAGGGTGGTTCCAGGGTGCCAAGAGACATGGAGTGATGCCTGGGATGGCCACCTGGGCCCATTGTCGGGGCGGCTCATGGGGAACTGCTCTTCTGGGCAGAGGAATCGGGCAGACAGCAATGCCTGAATCTCTTGAGCAATTTCTCTCCATCTCACTTGGAGGCCCAGAGCAGTGATGGTGTCCAGGGACCCCTCCCAGCTCCCCCAGGCTGTGTGCCAGGCCACACACATCTTCATTTTATACTCATCACAGTGGGCTAGGAGCCCTCCGAGGAGGAGGCCCCAATGCCTCCGTCCTTAGAGCCAAGTCAAGTACATCTTTGAGAGCCGAGAGCACGGGACCTCCAGCGAGGACTGATGAGGCTGTTGTACTGGATCAGCCCTTCCTGTCAGCAACACCCCCACCAAATGGGACGCAATGAGCACCTAGCCGACCCAAGCCTCAGGAGCCAGTCCCACAGGGGGCTAAGGAGGCAGATGGCCTGGCTCAGCCCCTTCCTTGTAGGCAAGGTCATCTGTACGCCGGGACCAATGAGAGCCACCACCTCAGAGACTGTGAGACACATAAGGCACTGTAGGGCCGGGCACGAGGCTGACACTCACTGCAGCGGGCAGACTGGGGTCCCAGGGTCCCCGCTTGGCCTACACCAACCCTACAGGCTCCAGACGCCTATCTCCACAGCTCTGAAGCAGCTGGGGGAGCAGTGCGTGAGGAAGCCCTGGGGTCTGCCACCTGGGGTGGCTAAAAACAACCCTAGCTGGGGCTCAGCTGCCAGGATGGGGTGCAGCATGGAGCCTGGCTGTGGAGACCCCTCCCTTGAAATCATGGCTCAGAGTCCTTAGAGGGGGGGTCACTGACCCCAGGCCACCAGAGCAGGTCATCTCGAGCTCCTACCTCTGACAATGCCTCCTGCAACTCCCCCATCCTGGCAGAAGCAGGGTTTGCAGTGGGCTGCACCACAGCCGCGCCCCAAGGATACAGGAGCTCCCGGTCCTAGTCTGGCTGCAAGTTTCCTGAGACGTCAAAATCACCAGGGCAGACCCCGGGGATCAGCTGCCTCAGTCAGCCCTCCTGGGTACTGGGGAGAGGCACCAGGGACAGGGTCCTCCTAATCCTCCAATCGTTCCCAGCTGCCCAACTCCTGGGCCGGGCACTCAAGGCCTCTCCACCCCAGGCTCCACCCACTCCTCCTCCATCTTCTCCCACTCCCCACCACTCCCTCAAGCCTTCCCTGCTCTAACCACACAGAGCAAGTGTCTCCCCACCCTCATTCCCGTCTTCAAATCCTAAACACTGCCAAGGCCTGCTGCTCGTCCCACCATGGTGATGCTCCACTTACCCTGGCGTGGGGCTCAGCGTGTTCCTAGTCCTGCCTCACAGGTGAGGACACAGCCTGTGAGCTCCTGAGGGAGGCTGATCCCCTCAGGACATGACTACTCCTGACAGCAGCGGCGAGCGCCCCTGGCCTGAGGCCCCAGGCCCTGATCGTCCAGCTCTTACAGTGACTCAAGGGGAACTCGGCCTCTGGCCTCCCACCCTGCTACACTCACATCTGAAAAGCAACCAGCATCCTGCCATTCTAACAAAGCCCCAAGGGCGAGCGTCCTCTCGGCCTCACCTGTTTCTGCCCTTTCCCAGCTGGCGCACACCCCTCTTCCTTAGAGCCCCGACAGGCAGAGCCCAGCGCAGCCTTACCTTGATGACCCGCAGGGGTTTGCTGGGGTTGTTTTTGTCCAGGTAATTGATGTACCCAGACAGGGAGATGCTGAGGAGGTGGTCCTTCTGCCACAAGCAGCCCAGCTGCTGGTCCAGAACGTTGGAGCCCATTGTAAACGTGTTGACGACAGAGTTCACATTGACGTCCCAAATTTTAGAGGTTTTGTCTCCGGAAGCAGAAAGCAAATGGGTGCTATCAGGACTCCAACTAATCTACTCAAACAAAATGGCATGTCCCATGTCAGAGCATTCCAGAGTGGCAAGGGACCCAAGAAAGCAGCCTGTCCACAGCCTTCATTTCTGAGCAGGGAGAAGGAAAGCCCAGGAGGTGGAGGGACATGCCGGGTAGAATGAGGATGAGAACTTGGGCCTTCTGCTCTGGCCACTTGCTTCCCCAGGCCACGTCACCCTGTTCTGGGTGACCTTGAAGCTCTACACCACTGCTCCGACTCTGAAACCCTCATTTCAAGCTTCTAAATGCACAGGCAAATACAGTCCAACCACAACCACAAGTCACGAAGCACAAGTCCATACTTACAGCATAAATGCCTCCGTCGTGAGCCTTGCTTCCGCCCAGCGCGCACACTTTCTCTCCCGTCTTCCCATCATAGATGTATATCTTTCAGGAAATAAAAATATATGTGGATCATATGTGTGTGCATGCTCTCAGCAGTTAGCATGCCAAATGAGCTCTTCCTTATCTATCATTGCTCTATCATCAAGAAAGTTTGCAACTGTGACTCTTAAAAAAAAAAAGAATCTAAAAAAAGTGCTAATAGATTGAGTTTTGAGCTCCATTTAACAGGAGAGAGATGGAGAGATGTGTCTATTGTGCTTTGAGGACAAAGACCCTAACTGAGCCGCGTACTGGGAACTGGGAAGGAGGGAGATTTCTAAGTTCTGCACATTGAGACAGGCTTTACTAAGTCTGTCTGTTCTGAACAGTCACAGAGGATAACCAGATGAACCCCCACCTCCATGGCCCCCAGCCCTTACCTGGCCGTCGGCACTAGCCGTGGCAAATCTGTTCCCGTCAGGAGAGAATCGCACACAATTGACAAAGCGGCTGTGGTCCTGTAAGAAAGAGGACAGTTAACAACTGACAACAAGAAGTTCAGGAAAGCCTTCTATGAAACACGCAGCTACTACTACCAATCTGAACTGCCAGGCCACAGGAAGACTCCAGAATGAGTCCCAAGCAGCTCCTGACTGGCTGGGAGGTCTGGTTCAGCCTGCCCGGAAAGCCGTGCTCCAGCCAGACCTCCCTCCCTATGACGTGTCCCCTGATCTCTGCAGACGGAAACGGCCCTCTTCTCTCTCAGCCCCGGAGTGACCTCAAGCCCCAGACCTTAAGCTTCATGACACCAGGATCACGAGGCCTCTTCCCCGAGTCCCCAGGGTCCGACCCAGGCCCAGTACACAGCAGGTGCTCAGTGGGTCCTTGCTGAAGGACCCACTGAGGTTTTAAAGAAATTAAAAATGGTTATGACCTTCACGGGAATGTGAGTCTGAGTGACTGAGGAGAAATGACCTCCAGGGTAATTCCCTTACCTGAAAAAGTAAATGAACTCATTCTTAGGATCCTCAGTCAAGAAGGGTTTACACCAGAGAATGATCCTCCAAAAACCCCAAACACCAAGCCACCAACACAAGGCCTGGCCCGTCTCCCACCCCACCTATAAGCACACATTAAGCGTTGCTTATCCACACACAGAGGAAAGACCATGTGAAGATGGAGGCCGAGACGCGGGTGCTGCCACAGCCCAAGGAACGCCTAGGCTGTCAGAATCTAGAAGAGACAAGGCAGGAACGAGAGGGAGCACAGCCTTGCTGACACCTTGACCTCAGACTTCTGGCTTCCAGAACTGAGAGAATAAATTCCTGTTGTTTAAGCCACCCAGTTGGTAGTACTTGGTTATCGCAGCCCCAGGAAACTAACACGTAACAAATGTCTTTAACGCTCACGTAATAACCCTTCAAGTAAACTGTGCCCGCTGCCCTGATGAAGAAACTCAGGCCAGGAAGGAGAAATCAGGTGCCGAGCTTCCCCTGCAGGGAGGCCACAGAGCCAGGGACCAAAAGAACCGATGTCCCTACAAAGTCCAACTGGGAGAGTCAGCAGAACGGCCGTCAGTAAGTACAGTCGTTTCCCGGGTTAGGCAGCTCTCACCTCAGGAACGACAGGACTGAGGTGGTGGCTCCAGGCCGCCCACCTGCTGAGATTTCCAGGTCAGGCGCTCGCTCCCAGCCCCATCAGATAGAGTGAAACCTCCCTGGCCAGAAGAGATGCAGTCCAGAGCTCAGGTGCAAAGCTAGCCTGCACTTCCCACTGAGCGACAATCAAACTGTAAATTACACCCTCAGTGACAAGGCCAGAGGCAGCCGAAACTTCACCTGGCTCCCGGGGTCCCTCCTCAAGGGTCATGTCCTCTCACAGGGGGTCAAGCCAAGACCTGGTCCTACAGTGAGTGAGTCACGGATGCAGAGATCCTCCCACCTCATTGACAGATGAAAACTTGAGAACTGCAAGGATCCTGACCATGGGCAGCGGTGACTGCTGACTGCTGATTCACACAACCACGGCTTCCACCCAGTGGGTGACCAGAGCTCATCCTGCCTCACTTCGGCGAGCACTGTCGTGGGACTGGGACCTTGCCCTGACCCAGGAGCTTGTCCTGTGGGATCATCATCACCAGCACCCATGACGGGGCGGGTGCCTCCCAGTGCTGAGGCTCGATCAGGCGCCGCAGTGAGGTCTGCAAGGCGCCTTGGCGCCCCACAGGTCAGGGCGACCCCGAGGCCCAGATGCGGCGAGAGCACAGTCTGGCTCTAGTGCTGGAGCGCCCTTTCCTGTGTTCAAGCTGAGCTGTGTGTTCTGCTTTTTAGTTTCTCCTGTCCGCTCTTCCTGGCTCTAAGGCTTGCGTTCTGTTGTCAGGCGGTCCTGGGTACGCGGAGCTGGAGGACAGCGGTTTCCCACTGGGCACACAATTAACTTTCCAAACTGGGATCTCTCAGCCCTCCTGACTGTTCTGCCTCCATGGCTGTCACACACCCACCACCCCACCACTGCGAGGGGCCTTGGGGAGCCTCCAGGCACGTCTGTACAGGAGACAACCAGGCCCAGAGAGGGACAACCCAGGTCTCCAATTTCTCATCTAGAACCCTGGACTCAAGTGTGCCAGCTCCATGCCCCGGGCAGGAGGCGGGGAGCCACCCACAGTCAGAGCTTTCACTCCTCAGGCCGACTGCCACCCTCTGCCACCCACCCAAGGCTCTAAGAGAGCCAGCTGCACACAGAGGCCCACGTCCCTCTGTCCTTGTCGGTGCTCAGGGCCCTATGCTGTCCTCCCTCAGGCCTGCAGGGCCAGCAATGGTTCAAAGGCAATGGCAGGGAGGTTTCTGAGACACAGCTGTCCAGACTCCTCTCTCGTTCCTCGCAGGACCGCCCTGTGGGGAGGACGGGGCGGCAGGCACAGCTCCTCTTTCTGGACGAGGTCAAAGGAAAAGCTCTTAAGTGACAAAACCATGGCTCAAGTCCTAGACATCTGACCAAGCGCCTAGTCCTTTCACCCCTGACCTCTACCGCTCACCCACCCCCCCCGCAGCTCCAGGTTTTCTCCACAGTGACAGGATAAGGGGCTGGGGGCGGCTCCCCCCCAGGTCCCTGTGACCGACCAGGCCCCGGCCGGCCCAGGGAAGCAGGGCTCCCCAAGAAGTGGGACGCCGAAAGGCCTTGGGGCTAAGGGGGTGCTATGGCGGGGCACTGATTTCTCTTCACTGGACACAAGGAGTATGCTATGCATTAGAGGAAGATTCAGCCACCGTTCAACTCCACCTCATAACAAACTCCAGCTTCACTGGTTCCCTGAGAGCACAGGAACGCCGCCCGTACAGCCCCAGTCACAGGGTCAGCACGCCCTCCTGAGAGGCAGCAGACACCGAGCCCCGCGCCCGCCCAGCTCCGCGCAGCGACCCGAGCGATCCTCCCTCAGAAAGGCCTTCCCTGACTGCCCGCCCCATCTCTCTGGATCCCTTTCCTCGGTCACAGCACTCAGCAGTCCCGTCCCCGATGTTACAGGACTTCGCACGAGTTGATGTGTTTGTTGTCCCCCTCCCCGGGCTCCTGGGGGGCCCCTGACTGGCGTGGGTTTAGTGAAGGCCGGACAGAGCAGACGTCTGGGCGCTGTGTGGCTTTAGGAACTCCTCCTTGTCGGCTCTTCCTGCGACTCGAGCCAAGCGTCCAAATGAGCAGGAGACTGATGTCTGCTCCTGAAATAGCCCATTTAAAGGGAAGGAGCAGCAAACAGCCCATTAACCAAAAAAATGAGGGCTAAAAATAGCCCCTTCCACAGGGAGCTGAGGCCAGAGTACAAAGAAGAAACAGTTTGGGGAAACATCATGGGGGGTTCCTGGCTGCCCAACCCGGCCGCCACCTACTGAGCTGGGGCTCCTGGCCCCTGTCCCTCTCCAACTGTGGGGTCACAGCAGCATCCTAGAGGCCCAGCCCCCACTCATTTGGGCGGTTCTCTGGTGTGGAAGGGCCTTGGTGCTGGTCCACCCCTGCCCGCCCTTCAGTCATAGCCAACACTCACTGGAGCTCTGGGGGGACTGTGTCAGTGGATCCTCCCAAGAACCCTGACTGTCATTACCCGCCCCCTGCTCCCGCCCAGTTACTACCTCCCCCAGCGTCATTACCTCCCCACACCACCACTACTGGTCCCCCCACCGTCATTACCTCCCTCATAGTGTTACCTCCCTCTCACCACTAAGAAAACTGAGGCGTGAAGCAATTAGGTAATAATTAAGTAATGCACCCAACTCCATGTCACTGATAGGGACAGAGCACCACTGGGCTCCATGGCCTGACTCCAGCATGCATGGCAGACTAGCTGGGCAGCTCAGGTGTCCCCTCTGGGAGCCCTCCCTGGTTCCCCTAGCCTCAGCTGTCCCTATACGTAGGACTCCCACTAACCCTCATGCTGCAACGCCCTGTGCCCACCTGCCTCGCTCCCTTGTCATGAGCCCGTGGAAGGACAAACAGGCTCAGACACCTGTGCCCACCACACCTCCTCCCTCCTTGGGTGCAGCCTCCACAGTCAGTGCTCAGAAATGGGTTTCTACCCTGACCTGAAGTGCTGCCTCACCCTCTTTCAGTCCACTGCCCCCTCGCAAACCCGCCTCCTCCTCCCTCTGTGAAGTCTTCCCTGTAAAGACCCTCGAGGGGCAGCACTGCGTCCCCGCCTACCTCAGCTTGTTGAGAAGCACAAAGGAGACCACGCACTCCGCCTGCCTCTTCCTGGACAGATCTGCCCAGTGACCACTTTCCTCAGGAGAAAGAGGCCCAGATGAAGGGACAAAGGCTCGTTCTAGGCTCGTTCTAACCCTCCCTGGGCCACTTACTGTCCACACAAGCCTGGCCAGGTCACTCACCCTGCTGCCCACCGTGGTTTGCTCAGTAGTAGACCAGGAAGGAGACGATGGGGAGGAGAAGAAGGCCCTGCTGACCTCCCAGTGTGGCCATCACTAACGCACACACAGCTCTGTGAAAAGCAAGACCAGCTGACACAAGGGGGGATGGCTAAGGGCAAGGTGGGGGTATTCTGTGTGCCCAGCCCACTGCCAGGCACGATCAGGCACCTGATACACACTTGAACTGAAACTCCTGCTTTCTGCCCTCTAGTGAGCAATGAAACAGGAAAAAACAACCAGAAAATCTCCCATATTAGACCTCAAATTTTACCTAGTGGTCCAGGGAGGCAACACGTCTAATAATAGCCAAGACTGAGTTTTCTAGCTCAACTCACCTCTGACTGTTTGGAAGGAAGTGGGACACCCCGCTTAGCGCCAGCTGTGATGTGTACCACCACACACAGGGGGCAGGTGAAAGCCCGTCCCGGAGCAGTTGGCCAGCCGTGCAGCTCACCTCCGCCGAGAGAAGACCAGGCGTCCCCTCCACCGCAGGTGTGCTCCACCCGCTCTCAGACACTTAGGCGGATGTGGCAGGAAGTTTCCAGTTCCAGGTCACACGGCAACAGCCTGGACAAATGAGTCCCCTGACATTTGTTGCTCTAAGCAATAATTTAATTAGACACAAACTATTCCATCAACTGCAACACCTGGGGCCTGGACACAGCTCTCAGAGGTGCCTGCTCCAGAAGGAGCATGTGTGGTCACCCAGGCAGCCAACCTGCTCACCCGAGAGAGGAGGAAGCAGAAGGCCAGAGAGGTAGAAACTTGCCCAAGGCTGAGGTGGGCAAGGCTCACAGAGAAGGCAGGTGGAGAGAGACCCTTAGCGGGGCTTGTTATCACACAAACAGACACAGCCATCACAGGGACATGCTCGGCGGGAAGAGATCCCTGTGGCAGAGGCAGGAGTAGGCAAGGTCCCACCTGCCCCCCTTTCAGGACACCCTTAGGTCCTCAAATGGGAACCTAAACCTTTGTCCACAGAATGCCAGAGCCGGAGGTGAAGACCATGCGGCCCAAAGCCTCCGTCCCACAACGGGTCTCCTGTGATCCTGGGAAGTGTCACCTCCGCAGTCGCCCACTGCATCTGAAACGTGAGTGGGCTGCGGGTAAGCTGGTGCCAGGGCCTGTTCCAGGTGAAAGCTTCCCCCACCCTGTGCTCCTGCAGCCTCTTAAACCCACCTCGGGTTTAGGCCACCAGGACTAAAGCTGGCCCCAGGGCCTGGACGGGAGCCGGCAGTCTGGCTAAAGCTGAGCCGTGACTCAGCTTTAGAGGAACCAAGAGTCAACACTCTTGTTCTGCACAATATGAGAAGCTGGTTTAAACCAACATACTCATGAACAAAAAGGAAAAGCAACACGACCCCCACACTCAGGCCAGCAGGACGGACAGGTGGCCTAACCTGACATAAGAACCGTCACTCATCTTTGTCTTGGAAATACCACTTTCATTTCCACTCGAGTGCAAACAGCATCCGAGTTTTGTTTCGGCATGTACTGCAATTCAGAACACAATTTACTCCTTTTCAAGGCAGCCACTTGAACTCAACCCCTGTGCTTCTCAAATGCCCACCCCTTATTCCAGGGCCTTCAACACGATGAAGAGAAAGTGGCAGGAGCTGGAACCTGGATGGACGGGCGGCCTCCACATTACAGTTTTACTCTGGGGCTGTGAAGGCCTAGGGCAGATACACACGGAAAAGCTGCAGACTGATCCCAAAAGTCATCATCACCTTACAAGGCATTCCGGGTGTGTGTGGGGGGCCTGAGTGCCCTCCTGCCCTTCCTGCGCCAGGTCAACTGAGCCTGTTAGAATCCTTCCCAATGGAAGCCCAGAGAATTCCTCACGGACACTCAGACTTTTACAGCATCTCTCACGTCCTTCCTCCAGCTCCAGAGGGCCAGCGGAAGAGGGTTATCGTCATCCTGTTGCCCAAGGGGGCCGGAGGCACGACCAGCCTGAGAATCGCAAAGCCAACCAGCTGCAGCGCTGGGCTGCCACCCAATGTCCCCCATTCCTGGTCCACAGGCCCTTCTGGTCTCACCAGAAGGTGAGAGGACCCTTCTGGTCCTTACACAGGACCCACGGGTGATGGGCTGCACGGAAGACTTGAGGACAAGCTGTGTGCCCTCCCCGGAGATAGGTGCCAGCTGGGCAAACGTTTCCACCCGACATTCCTGGGCCCAGGCCTCGGGGTAAGGGCTGTGTTCTCAGGTTAGAAGGAAAATGGAAAGAAAGAATATTGCAGCCAAGTCTCTGAGTGAGCACACACAGAAGGCTGGCAGGGTGGTGAGGGCACAGGCTTTAGCTGACTCGACCACCCACGACGGAGCCGTTCCCCGCTGGGTTTAATCTACTTCTGCAAAGAGGAAATGAGCCCTCTCCAGGCAGGGAAAGGAGCCCTACTCACCTACAGCCCAGATCAGGGCCAAGTGAAACCAAACAGAAGGGTAGGGGGCACGAGAGCAGCATGGCTTCCCTGAGACAAGCTAGGGCAGCCTCCTATTGCCACAGACACCTCTGATCTCCCTCCTTCCTGTCTTGGGTACAGAGCAGGATGTTCAGTTACTTGACTCAGCATTTTTACCTGGTGTTCCATGGTACTTCTGTTCCCACTTAGGAACACTGACCATGAACTACAGCCTTCAGCAAAGCCCTCACCACTTTCCAATTAAGCAGCAGCCGCAGGAGACAGCATCTGAGAACTGCAGGGTGTTGGGAAGGCACCTCGGAGCTGCACACCCCACAGGGCACAGAAAGCCTTGCTGTGCTTCTCACGCAGCCAGCCAGGCCCTGCTCAGAGGCTCCAGGACGAAACAAACCCACTTCACTACAAAAAGGGAACCTGTGTAGAGCCCTTCTGTACCCGAGCCAAGATCTGTGTCTGGAAATTCTGCCCAGTGCATAAGTCCTGCCCTCTGGGGACCTGCTGAGGAAGCGTCATCGCCCTTTCTGGTTACGCCCTGCCCGCTGTTATGATTCACTGTGTTCACTCATCAAAGTTAACAGGAGCCTGCAGCCAGCACCCTTAAGGGCATTATCTCACTTAATCTTCGATGAGACAGGACACTGAACTGCTCCGGACCTTCGGGCAGTCATTCACCGTTAAATGCTCTGATGCCGATGCCCTCCACACCCACCTTGCAGATGGGAAAAGTGAGGCTTATAGAGGTCAGGCCCTTGTCCCAGTCAGGGAGCATGTGCAGAGCTGGGACTCAGACCCCAAAGCCATTTATATCCAAAGCCTGTGACATGGCACTAGGACATTTAGAGCACGCATCTTCCACAGGCAAAGCATCTCATTCTCCTGATCACATATCACTTTAGAGGTGTGTCCCTGCCCTCATCATCTCTTCTAAGGAGGCAGCAGAGGAGACAAATCCAGATGTCTCTGGAAGCTCACCTGCTCTGCCACTTTGGCAGCTCAGCAGGTCTCCAAGAGCAGGCTGACACCAGGCCTGGACTCCCCCTTCCTAATAAGGCACCTCCAGGCCAGGACGCCCACCTGGTCACACAGCGTCAGAAATGCACCCTGCCCCCATCCCAGAAATATATATATGGCCCCAGGGCAAAGCCCTGCCCTGTGCGGACCCTTTCCTGCTGGAACCACCCATGCCAGCCTAAGCGCAGGGCTATGAGGCCTGGGGACTGGTGTGGGGTGAGGTTCTCCCTATAAACCCTACTTTCCACCTACACATCACGACATTTACGGGGTGTGCCCATGACCTTTCTGCTATCAGCATCTAACAGGTCTAGACGCTGCTGGCTTCACATACAAACCACAAAGTTAGAACCACCTTACAGGGAGAAGTGCACTTACGCCAATTGTAAACTTGAACTTGAATGGTGGCCCCTCAAAGAAGGCGGCGCAGTTATCGTCGCTGCCCGTCGCCAGCCGGTATGGCCTGCTCTGCTTGATGTCCACGCTGTTGATGACTTTGTTGTGTCCCGTGATCTCGCCCACAGAAGAGCCACTGTCCCACAGGAAGACGGCTCCAAACCTTCACCCAACGAGAGGAGTCGCAGGAAAACAAACAAATCAATCCCAGGGAGGGTCGACGAGACATGGCAGTGGAGCTGCCAGTGCCTAAAGGAGGGAAGTGGGTGCCGGCAGTACAGCCCCGCCTCATGACCCTGCTGCATACACACTGATGACAAGAACACACACTGAAGCACTGGGTGTCCTTGTCTGTATGGTCCAGCCTCCACGTGCAAGATGTCTTAAAAGCAACTGCCAGGGGAACAGCTTTATGGCTTTCATAACAGTTTTATTGGGGGGAACCAAGAAATAGACCACTCACCATCCCCTACTAGAAAGGAGATGATGGCTTGCTTTCAGCTGGCACTCATTGAAAATGTTTTGGTTACTATTTGTGACCGAATGAAAAAGGAATTATTAAGACCATCAGGAACGACTTGAAAAACTACAGAATGAATACCTAACAGAACACGCACTGAAAAGAACCTCTGAGTAAGAGAAATAAAGACGTGTGCCCGCCAAGTTGAAATGCTCGCAGGCAGCGTGGTGCAGTGGAGGGAACCCTGACCGCACTGGAGTAAGAAAACCTGAGTTGTGGCCCTGACCCTGCTGGTCACTAGACCCTGAGTGCAGCAGCCATTCAGGCCGCCTATCCAGTATCCACCCGCCCCTTCTTCCTCAGTAAGGCGACCTCAGGGGATGGGCCCTAGGGGAAATGCCCAGCCTGCGTTACAGCTAGGTGTGGCCATGCGGAAGCTGCTGGGAGGGACCCAATAATGCTCGTAAGAGCATCTCTTTCACTTTCTCCCTTTCCTGCTTCCTGCTGCCTCGAACGTGGGCACGATGGCTGGAGTTCTAGAAAGCGAAGGGCCAAGGATGTCAGAGACAGAGAGAGAAGGTACCTGGGCCCTGAGACAAACTGAGGGGTTTACCCACGGTTACATGCCGCTAGGCCAACCCTGAAGGAGCCAGTGGCTTGGGCTAGTCACACACCTGTGAATGGGGCTGGAGAGGCCCGGCACCTATGGGGACTCAACACACACTAGTCCACGCTGGCACTGATGTCACTGCAGCCCTCCCAACAGGGACACCTAAGAAAGGAAGCCAAGCAAGGGACACAAACAGGGAGGGGCCGGGGCCAGAGACTCACTTCTCCCTTCCTTCCCCGACCACGGCGATCCTCTTGCTGTCTTCCGTCCAAGCGATGTCCTTGATCTTCCCCGCGAAAGGCTGGTACTCATACTTCAAGAGATGCTCCTTCTGCGTGGTATCCCAGATCCTCAGCTTCCCAGACACATCTGCAGACACAACGGGCGGTGAGAGCCACAGTCACCACTGGGCCAGGGCCGTGTAGGCACGAGGCATGCCCACACAGCACCGCCTGGGGTTCGCAGGCTTGCTGGAGTTGGCTGAGGCTGTAGCTGGGAGGAGGGCCGTGTTTTAGGTAAATAATACCCAGCTACTCGTCAGAGCCTGCTGCCTCCACGAGCACCACCACTGGGTCTCTGCATTTCACCCGTAGTCACCTGGATTATAAGCCATGTGTAGGAATCAGACAGCCCAGCGACACACGGTGGCAAACCCAACGTGTCGGGGAGCAGTTTCATTTCATTTTGTATTTCTGTCCCTGTAGGAGGATCTAAATGGCATATGGACCTTGTGCCACTCCCTTAACACTCGGGAGCTAAAGTTTACTTCATTTGTAAAGTGACAGTGTCGCCCGCCTCTGCCGTGCAGCTGCCGCAGTAACTAATGGAAACAAGGCGCACAGCTGGGCGTGCACGGTGTGACTTGCACGGCAGCCCCAGCCCCCTCGCAGCTCCTCACCCACGCCCCAGGCAACCAGAAGCCTCACTCATGACAGTGAGGCACAATCCACAACTCAGGACTGTTGCGTGAGTAAGAGCCTTTTGTGAGACACCTGTGGTGGGTGTCGGAATGAATTGTACTCCAGACAGAGTGTGGCCCACGTCTCTTCTCGCGGCAGCGTCTGCAGCAGTTAGTAATAGACTAACAGCCTCTCTCCTTCCCTGCCACGATCCTGTCACCAAGACCCAAGCACCAACCCAACACGCCCTTCCCAAATTAGCAGGAAAAATGGAGCATCTTTCACTAACTCTTGAGGCTTAAAACCTCAGCCCAGAATGGGTCTGGGGTCCTCCCGGCGGGCAAGCTCACACTGTGTTTCCAGGAACCCCAGGCCCACTTCAGCACTAAACACAAAACTCTACAGCAGCTCCTGTGAAAACAGCTTTGGTTCTGTTCTGGCCAAGCCAAGGGAGGGCGGAGGCTGCAGAGGGCAGCATGGAGAGCCAGCCCCTGCCCCATGTAGACGTGGACTAGCCAGCCTTACAAGGATCTAAAGATCACGCAGAGGACTGGAACCCCATCTGGGAGGTAGCTGCAGGCTTTCCAAAGTACTGGGAACTCCCAACTCAGGGGACCTGGAACCCAGGGACCCCCGTCCCCTGGCACACCAGGTACCAGGTAACCCACTTAGCCAGAGAGCATAACACTTTCCCAGCCTCCCTCATCCTCACTCCAAACCCCACACTATTTTTAGCCGAGGGCCCTAATCTCTGCAGTAAATGTTTTGTTGTCTTTGCTGGATTCAAAGGACCAGTGCACTGGAAACGTCCAATGTGATCTTTGCCCAAGAATACCTGGACCTGTGTCCAGGTATTGAGCCCCAATCTCCCTCAGTTCCTCTGCCAAATCAGGGCGCTTTTACGAGACGAAAATGTCAAACTGATCCTTTACTCATGGGGACTGTCCTTGGCAACAGTCTCTGCGACAGCCCTCCTCATTGATTCCGTACTAGCATCTGAAAGCCATCGATTTCTGTCAGGTTAAGACCCACCCTGGGACCGGGCAGAGGGCAGCCAGGCCTCAGCTCAAAGCGCTAAGGCAGGGAGGCTGTGCCAAGCAGGTAGCGGGGCCCTTGCCAACCACAAATCTCTCCTGAGAAGACACAATTTTAACAGGCGCCAGGGCCAGATCTTGGGGCTGTAAATGAAGAGGTGTTTTGCTGGCAAGTAGGGCTGGAAAAAAAAATTCACAGGGCTAAAATAAATCATGGGATATATTACAGCAAGTTTTACAGATGGAGTCAGAGTAGTCTAAACACAAAAATCATTAAGTGCCCACTATGTGCCAGACTCTTGGCCAAGCCCTGCAAACACAACCCCAGCCGGCTGGCATTAGCTGTCGCCTGTTGCCTTGGCGCATCCTGGTTTTGGTGAAAGACACTAAGGTCACTCGCTGTCAGGTGCCCACTAGCGCAAGAACCACCCTAGGCATTCTGCGAAACTTGCCGCACTGGATCCTCACCAAACCAACCTGGTAGGTACCAGCACCCTGGTTTATAGAAAAGCAATGTAAGGCCCAGGAAGGGGAGTTATTTAAGGAAGGTAGCACAGCTGCGAAGGGGTGAACCCTTCAAAGACATGTCCCTGCACTGCCTGCCATGCAGGGAGCGAGGGCAGTGTAGACAGAACCTTCGCTGGTGTGTATGAATCCTGGCCCTCCCCTACAGGCTGGTTAGTTTTTTCATCAAGTCGTTCATTTCTGTCGCTCTCCACGGGAGGCTGAGGCGCCTCACATCAGCCCGTTCACTGGCTCTCCCTGGGGCCTGAGACCAGGCTGGGCACAGCCAAGGCAGCCAATAAATATTTGTTGAGTGTATGAATGAATGAATGAGTGAACGAATGAATGGGAGACTTGAGGTAAGCCACTCTTAACTTGTGCCTTTCTTGCCTGTAAATGTTTGTAAAAGATCTACCTCCAAGGATTAAGTGAATAAAGCATCCCATAACCTAAAGATCTTTGTGCCCCTCCTCTTACCCAGCCTCCCACTGAGCCACACAAAAGCCCGGCTGCAGAGAGCAAAGGCCCAGACCACAAATGAAACAAGCAAATGGAGCGCTTGCCTCGAGGCTGGGCATTGTGCTGGGCAGCAGGAAAGGAGCAGCTAATAAAGGTGACAGGAGACAAAGCTACGATTCAAAAACACACACTGAGCTCCAATACATCATGATACAGCCGCCTGCAAAGGCCTCTGGCCAACCTCACAAGAGTATTTCTGCTGACCTGAGTTGGAACCAGCTGGAACACTGCAAACTACAAAGTTCTGGAATGGGGCTTTTCAGTGGCTTATACGTTCTTTGTCAGCTCTGGCTGAAACTAATTATATTGCTTGTACCTGCCCCCCTGCCCCCTCCTTTACCCTCTTCCTTCTTCCCTCCTCCCCATCCTCCCAAGCCAGGAGCCCAGCTTAGCCCCAGGACTCGGGATGGGGGGGTGGGCAGAGCGGCACCTCAGCCACGCCACATGCGTCCAGGAGCTATGCACTGGTACACGTACCTCCAGATGCGATGTAGAATCCGCTGGGTGCGTACTTGGCCACCACCACTTGATGGGCGTGCTCTGTGTAGATGTCAGCAACGGCTGGGTTCTGCAGGAAGAGACCCCAAATGAATACAAGGAACATAGAAGCAGCCAAACTGCCTTCCACTCTCCCAATTAACGGATTTTGGGGTGGGGGGAATGACACACACTTAAAATCTTTCTAAAGAAAATCCTAGAAGTATATCTATCTGCCTACACACACACTGCCTGCCTGCCTATCTCTGGGTGATAGAATTCCAGGTAACAGTAACCCTTTCTCTCTAGTCTATAATTATAGAATTCAAGGCAATTTTCTTTGGTCGGCTTTTCTGTACTTGCCATAGTACAAATATGTACTTGTGAAATATATACAGGGAATAAGTTTCATCAAAAAAAAAAACAAACTGTGATTCTAACTTTCTCCTCTTTGTAGAAAGCCGCCAGTTCTTCAAGTCACAGTTCCCGACTCTCTCAGAGCTGTCTCCCCTGTTCTGAACCAGCAGTATCCCAGGCTGCCAAGCAGTGTATGACCTGAAACAGGGCCTTAGACTTTGAGGCACAAGAACAGAGTGGGGCTTGCAGCTGGGAGGAGACCCCCCCATGGGTCACGTATTTGGGAGCCCCTCCTTTGGGTCACGTAGCTGGGAGCCCCTCGTCAAAAACCTCCCTTTGGGAAATGTGGATTCCCCACACCCTTTCGAGGCACAGATCAAAGGTGGGCCAGACTTTGTGGCAAGAATGGGGCCAGCACTTGGGACTAGAAGCATCTTCACTACTTAAATGTAAGGTTTTAACATATAATTTACTAAAAGTATACCATGGCACCCCCTCCCTCCCCAAACACTTATCACCAAGGGGCCTCAGCAAAACTGAAACACCGTGTGTCCCCAGAGCAGAGCCTGCTTTCAGGAGGGAATGAAGACTCGGCCGTCTAATCCCCTATACCCGCCATCAGCTTCCTGTGAACCAAGTGCTCTCCGAAAAGAGACAGCTTCCCACAGACAAGACTGAGGACACGTCAGGTCCTAGGGAGGCCGCCCAGGTGAAGGCCCGTCTAACCTGACCCCTAACTGCCCCCACCTGTTTCACCTGCCTAGTGGTCTCCTCTCCCTCATCTCCTCACACCCCTCGACAAGATCAGAGGCCTGTACTCTTCCCAGCCTCCCGGCCGCAGGATCCCCACCTGCCATCCCACCAGACTGAGACCAGAGAAGTACACCCTAAATTCTAGCCCTGTCACCACCGTTCTGCCATTCTTGCCAGCCCAACGTCTCTGTAAATACTGTTCACTCGGCCAGCAACACCTCTCCCTGCCTGCTAACACCTACTTATCTACCAGACCTAACAGAAGGGCCATCTGCACGAGCTTCCTTTGGCGGCCAGTTCTCTCTGCGCTTCCAAAGCACTGGACACGCCCCTGAGGCAGGTATGACACGCTGCAGTCCCCAACCTTCTCGTCCCTCTTCTCTAACCTGCTTCATGTACATTTAGCTCGTTCACCATCACAGCAACTAGCAAATAACAGGTGCTGGAGAAGTGTTTTTGAGGGGGGGGACAAGTTTACACAGTCCTTCTCTTTCACCCCTAGGACTTCACATTTAGTATTACGTGAACGTAGCAGGCACTTAATATATGTGGTTCATAAATTAATCCATCTTGGAACAAACATTTGCTAATGAAATTAGGTATCAGGGATCCAAAGAAGATACTATGAATGGCAAGCACATGAAAAGGTGCTCAATATCATTAGCCTTTTGGGAATTACAAATGAGAACTACAATGAAATATCTTTTATTACCTAATTCTTTATTAAAATAAAAGACTGACATCACCAAATGTTGGCAAGATGGAGGGGGGGCACCGGAATGTTCACATATTGCTGGTGGGAACCCAAAATTATGCAGCCAGAAAACAGTTTGGCTGGTTATTTATAAAGTTAAACATAGTTACCATACAAAAACCCAGCAAGACAGCTAAACCCACATGTCCACAAAGACACACACGCAAAGGTTCAAACATGCCTTTACTCGTAACAGCCCCAAAGGGGAACCACGCAATGTCTACCAATGGGTGACTGGAGAAACAAGCTGTGCTGTATCCTTCCAGGGGAATACGACTCAGCAATAAAGAGCAAACCATATTATATTCAACGACACGCTGAATCTCAAAAACGTTACAGGGAAAAGCCAGACACAAAAGACAACACTGTACTGCATGATTCCTGTTTTATGAAATTCTAGAAAAGGCAACCTAAAGTGACAAAGCAGAACAACTGGTAGGGGCTGGGGGTGGAGGGAGCCAAGTGACTGAAGGGCTTAGAGGGCACATTCTGGAATGACTGGCATGTTCTACATCATGACTGTGGTGGTGGTTCTGGGACTGTATTTGTCAAAACTCAAGTTGTACACTTAAATTTTATTGTATCTAAATTGCACCTCAATACAACCATGGTGCCTGGTATCCATCAAATGCCTGCCTAACCCCACCCGCCCCAGCCCAGACGGGTCCTTCACTCTTAACATGGAGAGTTCCTGCACAAAGCAGCTGGCAAAGCGGTCTGTGGACAGGCTGCCATCGTGTCTGTTTCAAGGCTGACTGAGGGGCCTTACACCCTATATGGTGGGCACTATGAGCCCACTGACCAGATGAGAAAGCCATCCCACAGGCGACGAACCACCCATGCCGGCACTCATCCTGGCATTGCCTTTAAAAAGGTGGGCTCCAAGGGGCCCTGGGGGAGGGACGGAAGGTGAGTAGGCGGCAGCCTGGGAGGAAGTTCTGCCCTTAGAATATCCTTCCCCTAAATGGTCAGGGTGTGTGAACCCCCAGGGTCATCCCCAGCAGGCTCAGCACCAGAATCCTGGGCTGGATGAGACACCACCCTCGCCCGTATTCCACATACAGTGCACAACTGGGCCAGCGAGGGGACGCGTCTCTAGGCTGAGCACAATGACCACATCTGAGTCAGCAGCAGCCTCTGCCACTGCCCCGCACACAGGAGGGCCAGCTGCTGGAGCCGGAAATGACACCTCCCCTGCCCCCAAGCGTCCCACCACAGGTCAGGCTCATTCCAGATCAGCGGGTCCAGCCGGCACAAGGACTGGGACCCAACCCTCTCCCCACTCCTCCTCCCTCTCTTGCTGTCTCAGGGAAGGAGAACAGGATTTGGAATGAGTACCTATTTGGAGAAGGGCTCAGGAAGGGGGAAAACGAGGGAAGAGAAGACAGCCAGTTCTGGGAGCACCAAGGAGCATCCCCCTTGGAGGGCCTAGGGAGACCGACCATTGAGAACAAGGTGCGGAGGCCAGGGCGCCCTCCTCCGGGCCTTCCTTCCTGCCCTGCTGCAGGCCCCGCCAGCTCTCGCCCTCAGAGGACAGGAGACTTCAGGCAGACACCAGCAGGAAGCCCTGGCACGGGAGGTCCCATGGCCGCCTAGCGGATGTGGGCAGAGGCTGAGAGAGCCCACTAAACCTCCTGTCATCTCGCCCTCCACCCCAGGCCCGTCCCAGCCCGGCCCACTCTTCTTCCACAGCTTCCAAACCCAGCTCCTCTTTCCACCTGGGCCACAGACTCCCCCCAGTTCTTCCTGTGCCTCCTGGGATCACGACGATATCTTTTTAATTGATCTCGACCTTCTATCAATCCACCACAGCCTCGGGGTCCCAACTCTGCTCACCTCACTCTCCTGCTTGAAATCCTTCCCTCAGGAGCTGCAGGGCCTGACTTGCCGCCTCCACTCTTCCCAGACCCCCCATGACCCCTGACCCGTGCAAGGCCCCTTCCCTCCCTGGGTCCACCTGGGGGCAGGAACAGGAGGCGCCCTCCCCTTCCCACATAGGGTCCCCGCTGAGCTCAGTGCCCAGCGCAGGGCCTGCCAGTGGGTGCTTGGCAACGGTGAGCGAGGGGCAGAGCTCAGGGCCGGGGGACCCTGGGATGAGCCCCAGAATGCTCCCCCACACCTGGGGTGTCACAGAGCCTCACAGAAGACATGAAAAGTATGGTGCTCGAGCAGTCACAGATGTGACACAGCCTCAGGACCACGGGCCGCGCCGTCACACGTCTGCAGACCCCACACGTCTGCAGGAGCAGTGGGGTGATGGCGCTCTGGCCGCCACCTGAGGCTGGTTCAGGGCCCACTTGTGCGCCGGGGACCCTCCCCAGGACCAGCAAACCAAATGACCTCCCCGACACCTCTCCAACCTCGGCCCTGGCCCTGTGGAGACTCACTCCAACAGAGCTGAGACAGTCATTTAAACACGCTCCGTCCAGGGCAGTGTCTGAGCCACCCCTGTGCTCCCTAAAGCTCTTTCACATTCCTTCTGTCCCCTGGGCTCAGGGCTGAGGTAGGGGTCAGAGGTCACCACATTATTTACAGGTCAGCTTGAGGGATGGCCCAGGTCACAGGGCGTGGCAGCATCTACCATGGCACCTGGCCCACCGTGAACCTGATGGAAGGCCTCTCTGAAGCTGTGTGACACAGCACTCTGCTGTGGCTGCTCATGGTCCCCTGGAGCGTCCACAGACAGCCCCGGGCAACCGGGCAAAGTGAGCATGACCTTCCAGGATTACCTTTCAGAGTGCTGGCTTTCTAAATACTCCCGGTTCCTGGAAGCAGTCACTGGAAGCTGGACCTGTGCAGTCCACACAATCTGCAGGGCCCTCTGTGCACTGGCGACTGAGGCCAAACTCAAATTATTGCAGAGCAAGTCAGCTCCACAAACCTCTGTCCTTCCAGACCGGAGGGTCTGCACCCAGAGGCTAAGCCCCCCACACTGCCCCACAGGGCAGCAAGAATGCACAAAGTATGGCCCCCTCGTTCCTTCCAAGAACTCCCCCATCCGCCCTGGGCTGGCCCTGGGGATCCAGCAGTGAGCCAATGCTTCACACAAATGGCGACCGGCCACCAAGTAGGAACCGGTGAGCACCGCCCTGCGCAACCTGCATGGCTCCCTCTTACCCAGATTGAGCTCTGAGCTGCGATCCAAAGTCCATTTCCCATTACGCCCTCCACCCTCCTTATCAAATTACTACAGTGACATTCTTCCCTTTATCTGCCTCAGTCTGGAA